TTTTTTTTGTTGAGTTTCACTCGTGAATCAGAGCGCGAAACTCGACGTGATTTTTTTCTAATCACGCAGAAATATCTCACGTCTACTGTACTTCACTGTAATCTTAACAGTCTGTTGGACAGTTTATATAGCAGTGTCTTTGGTTGCTTGACGCGTTTGACGAGTTCTGCCTGACTTTGCGTGAGTTTTTTTCCACCTACTTGCGACTATCGAGGTTGCTAACAGAGTTTCGACCAGTGCTAACCAACAAAGTCAGACTCAACAGACTTGAATGTTCACAGTGGTTCGTCGATTCTTTTTTAACGAATAGATGATCACGCAATTAGCGACAGCGATCGAACCGCAAGTATGACGTAGAGCGCTGCCCTCTGCAATTAACCTCTTGCGCTGGAATGTTGTAAAAATTGTAATATTTCCTCAGTTTTTAACTATAGTTAACTATAATTCAAGTTGGAAAAAAGTAGGCAAAACAAACGACAAAATTTGTTGTTACCTCTCAATCGTCTTCTATCCACTGATGTCCTCCCTACGAGGATTCAGAAGGAAAGGTCGCTCGTTACGGTCCGCAATCAGTCGCCAGCGCAAGTGGTTGAAAACTGGCTGGCCGAGAATTGCAACGCGGCATCTCGCGTTTGACAATTTCCATGCAAATTCTCTCGCAACCCCTGATTTGCAAACGCAGGGATCTTGCCATGCTGTGCTTTTACATTTGCATGAAGGACGACAATCCGTTATCCCTGCTTACGTTGTGTATCGATACTGTTCGAAATAGAGTGCTCAACCAGCTTTTCCCTCCCCCACGGAATTTCTGTTTTCTCCTGCTTGACAGTTTAACAACGTGATCTCCGATCTTCTCTCTCTCTCTCTCTCTCTCTCTCTCTCTCTCTCTCTCTTTCTGTCTCTCGATTTCTTGACTGTTTTAGTGCCATACAGCGCGATCGCGCCGTTCAATTTACAAGATGGCGCTTGGCGTTTCGATTGTAGCGCCATGTCCTCGTATCATTCTTTTCAGTGAAGTCTAAACCATAACTAACAATAACTGTGTAAAATATGTCTGTTTTGATTTACAGATAAATACAGGGTGGGTCAAAAGTTTACAGTTTCTGTTTTGTCTTTACGCGAGGAGAAACTTTACGAAAGAAATGTGAAAGAAGTTTTCGGAATTTTAATGAACTTAATTAACCTTAATTAATAATTCTAATTAGGAATTAATTATAAATTAATAAAATTTTTTTAGCAGGAAGTTATTTTTGGCCCACCCTATATACGTAGTTGTGACAAAGAAGCATGGGACTATCCAACACGGTTAATTTTTTAGCCTTCAAACTGGCACTAAAACGGTTAAGTTCAGCGAGTTGATGTTCGAGCATGCGCGATTTTTGTTTACAAAATCTGTTTTTTGTTTTTCTTTTTTTTTTTTTTCTTTATCTGTACCTGAAGTATCGCTTCCTCTGTAAATCAACCATCTCTCCTGTACATATCACAAATTTCTCTCTATATTCTTCTATCTGTATTTATTCGCACGCATGTATTTACACGTATCATACGTTACACACAGGGTGACTCTTACGAAGCGACTAATTGGCTAACTTTTTCCAAAATGAAAAAAAATCGTTCGAACGAAAGATATTTTGCTTTTTTTCCCCCCGTATCTCTTTGGAGAAGGTTCAGTCGAATTTTACAAGAATCACCCTGTGTAGCAGATATATCAAACAGAGTGTTAAAAAAGTATTGTTAATGATTGCTTATGAAACTGTTGAGACACGAATATTACGGCGAGCAATGAAATGAAATTCAGTAGCAGTTCAGAAGAAAAATTGGCTCTTGCGGAAGAAAAGTTCAAGTAGTTTTACCTTCAATTTCGTACTTTAATCTCCTTCAGAAATCTCGCGTGCTTTCACATATACAAATCGATTTAAAACGTTGAATTAAAATCTAAATCTCAATTTCAATGTAACGACGATTAAATTTAATTCACTGTAAACGATTCAGGCGTGATTTAGTACTTGTCTTTTTCAATGCTCTGTGCAGAAAATATTTGTATATTTACGACCACGCGCCGTGGTTGTGAAATAAACTCCTCGCAGTTGCGACCGCCTGTCAACACCTCTTTCTTACAGATGAATCTACGTGCACACTGTCTCAATTCCATTCGTCTTATTCGCGTGATACTACGTCTGTATCGGCGGCGCTACAACGAAGATCTGTACCCTACAGATTTATGCGCGAAGTTTGTTCGTTCGAGCATCGAAGAATCGTCGTCAGAGCTGTTAGAAGGGGGATCGACTTTGCTTCGAACGAATTGTTTGAGTAAAACTGTGAGAAAAGAATATCAGTGACTAGTCGAAAGAAGAAAATCGAAAATCCTCAAAATTCAAATTGTGATTAATCGAATTATAATATTGCAATCGAATTCAAATTATAATCGTCGTACTCTTCAGAGGCGAGAACTCGAAGATCGACAAAATTAATTATAATTTATATAATTATTAATAATATTTAAAATATTATAGTAATATTTATTATTAATAATATTTAAAATATCATAGTAATATTTATTATTAATAATATTTAAGATATTATAGTAATATTATAATAATTAAATAATTACTTTAATATTTAATTAATTATTTTTATATAAATAATTATTAAAATATTTATATAATTATTGATAATATTTAGAATATTTTTAAATAATTAAATAATTATTAAAATATTTATATAATTATTAATAATATTTAAAATATTTTTAGATAATTATTAAAATATTTATATAGTTATTGATAATGTTTAAAATATTTTAAAATAATTAAAGAATTATTAAAATATTTATACAATTGTTAATAATATTTAGAATATTTTTAAATAATTAAATAATTATTAAAATGTTTCTATAATTATTAATAATATTCAAAATATTTTTAAATAATTAAATAACTATTAAAATATTTATATAATTATTAATAATATTCAAAATATCTTTAGATAATTAAATAACTATTAAAATATTTATATAACTATTAATAATATTTAAAATATCTTTAGATAATTAAATAACTATTAAAATATTTATATAATTACTAATAAAATTAATTAACGCTCGCGGGATGTTTGGTCGATCAAATCGAACTCGCTTAAATCGAACATCTTCTTTGCCTCTGATCAGAACAGAGTAGAAACGCGCGCAAAGTCGAGTTCCCCGATCGAGAAGTAAAGTCGTAGCGCAGGTTAACGAGAGCGTGCAGAGTGTGTGCACTTCTTCGCTGATCCGGAATTCTCGCCGTAGCTGGGGATACGAGCGCGAGAAGTATGAAATAAACTGGTCGGGATTTTTCACTGGAGAGAAGAACAATGAGAGGCGCGCGCACATGAAGTAGGAAAACGCAGATCGTTGCCCCTGAACCGCATTCACCTATCCGTTCCTTTCCTTTCTCTCTTTCTCTTTTTCTCTCTCTCTATCTCTCTTTCTTTTCCAAAATCCTCTCTCTTTCTCTCTCTCTCTTTCTCTCGTTCTGCTGCGACCACGTAATCCGAGGATCCAGCGAACGTGTACATATATTTGGCGAATGCCGGTATACCTGCTGTACATTGTGCAACATCATACATAGACGACCCAGTTTGTTTGTAACGGTTCGTAGTGGCATAGCGTTTTCCAGTTATGATTTCTATTTGCAGGCAATTTTTGCTAGTAGCATACCTGAGATAATAGAGCTCGTAGGCAGTAGGTCCAAGTACAGCGGCGAGTACAAGCGGGAACACGGAAAGAGGTATTATTATATAATTACGTCCTTCAATCCTACGTCTTTTTTGTCTATTAACATTCTTATTTATTTTTTTCTTCTTCTTTTTTTTTTCCCTACTTTCAGTATGTATTATATATTTATGTACATATATATTATATACTATATAATACCTGATTAATCTTCTCATGCTGTATGTACACACATTTTACACACGTTCCTTTTTTTTTCTTTTTGTATATATATATCTCTCTTTATATCTCTCAAGTTGTAACTCGCGTGGTCCAGTTGCGCTACACTACCTCACTATCTCAAGTTGCACCACGGTGGTGGTGGAAAGTTGGGAAAATAAGGGACGAGACCAGACTGAAATGATTGTTGCAATTCTGACGATTCTGAAAATTATAATTTCGATATTTTTGTTTCGAAGCTTGTTTGGTGGAAATCTGCAAATTTTTCTAACTTCTGTCGTTGTGTCATATATATATTTTTGCTTCAAACACTATATATTTATATAATCTAATATATATATTACAATATTTATATTTATAGATATAATAATATTATTAATATATTATTAATACATTATATTATACAATATATTATTAATACAATAATATTTATAATATTATAATATTTTATAATATTATATTATTATATTATTTATTATATTATTTATATTTATATTACACTATATATTTATATAGTCTATATATATTTTAATAAGTCTAGTATATTTTATCTACATTATTATATAATTATTATCTATATTTTATCTATCTCATATTTAAAATTTATTTTATAATTTATATGTTTTATTTATATTTTATTTATCTCATTTTTATCTATCTCATTATATAAAAAATTTATATTTATTTATCTACCTCATTATATATTTTATATTTTATCTATTTCAATATATAAATTATATTTTATATAATTATATTTTATCTCATTATATAAAAAATATATATTTTTTTACATAATATATATTTTATCTAAAGTCTTGTGAAGACTACAGACAATATATATTGCATATAAATATTTGTAAATATTTGTAATATCAATTTCGTGGTTAATTTTATCACAATCTTCACAGCTGATTATTTATTACGTTCGAGGCAAAAATAGTTCAAAAAAGGTGCAGATCTATCGCGAGCACACGTCCCACGAAACATTTAAAAATCTCTCACGGACAGAATTGGTGAAATAATCGACGAACATACATCGATATTGAGGTATTGAGGTACGTTTGTAGCATTATTGCAAGCACGACGACTACAACAACAATCAAACTAGTCAAAGCGAAAGGAACGAAGAGTGGCGAGAAGCTCGTTATAGCTGACGCGATTACACGCGGACTTTGACGTTTCAGAAATGTCGCGTTTCTAAACGTGGTATCGCTCTCCGCGTCCCCTTTTCTTTTCAACTGAACCAAGTTATTCCAATGATCACGGTGAAAGATCCAATAGCGCTTCACGATGCTGAGAAACGTATGCTAAAAATTAAACGCGCACCGCTTGACGAGTTTGAGAATGTTTTGAATGTTAATAAGAAACTGACGACGACAATAATAATTAATAATCTCGTGTGTTACAAAAATTATTTCAATTTATATTTATTTATAAATTATTTAAATTATATAAATTCATAAATTATTATTTAATTTATATTTATTTATAAATTATTTTAATTTATAATTATCATAATTATTATACTAGAATTATTATAATTTTATATATAATTATTATATAAAATTATTATAATTTACTATGTGTAAACAATATATGTTATAACAACATATGTTATTATAATTATGTAATTATGTATTACGAGAATTATTGGAAATTATAGGGAATTTTCGAAAGTTGAATCCATTCTCCATTATTTTGAAATTATCTTGTCAGAGGTGATAACTAACGCATGAACAAAATTCTCTGAAGCGAGTTACTTTCATTTGTACGAAAGTGTTTGAAAAAATAAAAACAGATCTCGACATTTTTCGTCTACATCGAATTGGCTCAGCTAACAGTGAATCTTATTTTCAATGATTAAAACGTAACATTGACGTTCAATTAGATAAGTTGTTGGTTTTTTCAAAATTTTGGAAAAGAATCTTTTAACTTACGTTATAATTTAAAATATACGGAAACATTTCAAGCAGAAAGAACCTAACTTTCTATTTAAGAGATTAAACTAATCGCAAGAAAGATTTAATGTCACTAACAAAGTTCAAAGCCCTTAATTGAACATGTAGCAAAAATCTCCATGTAAATTGTCTCAACAAAACTTTCGACTGATTAAAATAATCCTGGATGAGAGGATGAGAGAAACGAATATAAAAACACACAAGATTGTAAGTCATAGTCACAATGTAATCCACAATTGTTAAGATCTTTCACCGTGCAATAGATACAGTGAATCAAAAAAGTATTCGCACGCTCGGTTTTCTTGGCGATGTCTTGATGAAAGCAAAAATCTGTTTCCATAAATGGACTCCACTATATTCACAATAATTTACAATTTGCAACAACGAGTTGTACAACAATACACAGAAATATAAAAATTCGAGAGTCAAAAAGACATTACACTCGCAATTCCAGTGCTGGTAATCTGCATTTAATTTAAATTACATAATTAAATAAAGTTTTATAAAATTAAAAATTAACAATATTATTTATAGTTTAAAGTAATGAAAATGAATTTTTATAAAAAGTATATAAGTAAAATTTATTTTGTGCCTTTTGTATCAGAATTAATTAATTAATTTATTTTAATAATTTTAATAATCTCGAAAGTAAATGATCTAAATATATATATATATATATAATTATTTTTGTGGAATAAAAAAAATAAATATATATTTATAAATTAAATTTATCTAGTTATTTTTTAAAATAAATTTATTAGAAAAATTATGAAATATCCTATTTTTTCCAAGTTGCCTTTAATCTCGTGCCACGCACGTCGAGAATTTTTTCGTCCCAAATTGCCACATTTTCTCAGTTTTAAATATATTTAAATGTAACCGAGGCAAAACAAATGACAAGTCTATAGTTTCGTAACAATCAAATTTCTATCCAGTGATGTCATACCGACGAGTTCAAAAGGAAAAGAAAGCGACGAATTATTGTATACGGTTCGGTCACTCGTTATGGTCCGCAATCAGTTGCCAGCCCGCTAAAAAAATATTTTGCACTCCGTTCAAACAGATTTTTACAGACAAGATGAGTACCTTCTCAAATTTTTACGTTACCTGCAATTATTATCGTACGACTCATTGTTGGAAACACGCAGTAAACTATAATAAATTTATGGAGACAAATTTTGTTTCTCGCAGAAACGAACGTTGCAAGAGAGCAAGGTGTGTGTGCCAACACTTTTCTCGATCCGTTTTGGTGGTTGAAACCGAGGGATCTGTTGCTGGCGCACCGATTTGCCAAGAGAAGCGCGAAAATTTTCTTTTCAATCGGTTCTCCGTAACAATGTTCATCGATAGCTTGCTCGAGCACTTGGCAAGTTGGTGTACCACAACTGTATTCGCATCTCATTTGTTCGCGTTCTCGTCCCGGTTTCTTTTTTTTTTCTTTTTGTTATTTACGATCTTGTTAGCGCGAAATAAAAGAAAGAGCTCCGTTCGAAAATAAATTGGAGGAGATACGAAGTTGCTCGCGCGCAACGTTCCTCGAATTTTCCACGGCGTTTGATCTGTTTTTACGAGAGTAACACACACACACACACACACACACGTACACACACCTTTTGCCAAGATTGCACGGTTTGCCACTTTAGTCTGCTACCTCTCTAACATCAACGTACATGAACATTGGAGAACATCGCTTGTTAGTGTTAGAATCAGGCACACGTAACCTAACCCAGTCGAGACAATACACCACAGTTTTTTTTTTTTTTTTTTTTTTTTTTTTACGTTGGTGACCGGATTATGCTTGACCAACGTCACTTACATCCTGTTACTTTTCACATCTATTTCTCGTTCCCCCCCTCCCCTTTTTTTTGGTTTTTCACGATCTTGTCAGCGTGTCAACAAGTGGGATTGACTTAACACAATTAGTTAGTTAGTGGATTGTTTATTAATCAATCATCTAGGAATTGTCTAATCTTTTATTACCAAGATTTGTTCATCAAGATACTCTACGTAGGTAGAAAGAAATGTCGCTCGTTGACGTTGCAATTTCTACAAGTTTCGCGCACTCTGTAAAGGGACTTTTCGTTAAAATTAGAGTTTCGATCAAAACGTCTTGTTTCTTTGGAAAAAAAAAAAAGAAAAAAATTTCGTACATCTGATGTCTACGTTATTTTTTTACTTACAGGTACTTTTAAAATAGTTTTCGCTAGTTTCACTGTGATGTTCGATGAAATTTTAGGTCAATGGAAGCAGTCATATTGCAGAGTGTGCAAAGATTTGTTTGAAAATTGCAATGTTAACACTAGAACCACCGGCGATGAAATTTCCATCAGAGATATTAAAGTAAAAAAAAAAGAAAAAAAGAAAAAAAGAAGAAAGACAAATAAAATACACAAGCACATGATTTAAATGATTATTTCACGAAAAATCATTTAAACTTTTGGTTTCTTAAAAACACGCTGTTTCACATCTTACATGGAATATCCGAATAAAAATTAAAAATCGGTCTATTATGGTAGTTCTAGCGTTGAGCCAGTGAGCGACAATTATCGACCTGTATCACTTGCATCGTACCTCCTTCGTCTCTCTTTTTTTCTTCTTCTTCACTATCTCTTTCTCACGCAAACCGGTACATCTCGCAATTGATGTAAGACGTTGCGTTTCGCCCATTTTGATTCACATACATTCGTCAAGAAATAGCCGCGATGGATTCGCCGATTGAATTTAATTTAATTAAACCTGTCTGAAAGTTTAATTTAATCGAACCTGTCGATGCTAAAAATACCACACGACTCAAACACTCCTCTGTATATCTCCATACACGGTGAAACTGCGCACAACGTACACACGTAAAACGTTCGTTCCAGTTTTCGTTTATTTT